CCGGCTCACCCAAGGTTCGCAATTTCAAGCGGATAAAAATTGGCCTCCCTTTGAAATACATATACAAAATTTTTCTTAGTAGTCTTTCTTTAGTTTATACTCGTATTCGTTGTCGACTCAAAATCCTTACTTATATCGGTCATGCATTTTATCTTGCTCGAGAGATCGATACGTATCCATTATTAACAATTCTTTTCGTGACAATTTAATGCCTGCAATTTCTTGCTTTCTATTTCTTATATTTCGCTATCTCAGTCGTTCAATCTGTCATACGTAACAGAAACACGTAAAGAAGTCATTATTGTTGATCCTGCCTCGACACACAACACACACGCACACACATTTCTTTCATCTCTTTCTCATTTCTCCGCTCTCTCGGCGGAATAGTTGATTCATCCATCCATTCATTCATTTTCGTTTAACACTTTTGTGCCACGCGGAGATACGGGTCTTCTGTCGCAGCGCCACGCATCTGGGAACCTCTTTAACTGTTTTGTATAACGTCATTAGTTTAAATACGTGTATCTCGACCTCTCGCTCTGACGGCGATAAACCAACGATAAAACTTTATCATTTCGAATCACTTGTATCAAAATCTTACAATCTTAGGTGAAATCTTAAATGAATAAAGGATGATAGAAATGTTTCTTTTCAAGACAAATGTAAATTTGCAAAGATTTGAAAGAAGGATACGTTAAAGGATAGGAAAAAGAAAGTGTAGACAGTAAAGCGTAGAAAAGTAACTCGTCAGAAACAACTCGACTGTTATTAAGCTGGTTTAGCTATTTTCAAGAAGGTTGAATCAATATGCTGCTTTCGCAAGAGTTATCTTACAATAGCCTAACGTTCAATTATTAATGCATACCTGGACATTGATTCATATTATGACGTACGATCTTAAAGTACATGTAGACAGCAAGTTATAATCGTCGTAGGTCGATATGTAGACATACATTTAAATTTCATACGACATTACGTAGCGTCGTGAGTTTATATACAAGTTGTACATGTATATATAAACTGTCCTATTTCTTTTATTCAAACGCAATGTCAATCACTCGTTTAATTTAATATAAAAATTGAAGCTACTACTGCAAATGTCTACGAGTATCTAGTGAATGTCTTATGTCTACAATTACTGTTTCCAGTCTAAAAGTAAAACGTTCTTTTCTAGTGCAAAGAATTCTGCGACGCGTATCAATTTCACACGTACGTTTTAATACAATCTCAACGACACGTCATTATTTAACTGGTTGTATCTCATCTTCATTTACATGCGTAAACGTGTAGAGGAAATTTCTCTCGCTAGCGCAAGGTTATCGTTGTCCATTCAGCTGGTTAAATGATCGCCTCTCATTAACGTCGCGTTGTTCATCTTGTTCGAACGAGACTGTAAACGCTTATGACAATTCGGTCAGCAAGGCGTAGGTGTTTCCGCGAGTAAAGACGAGCGTGGTCGAAAGCCCGCAAAGTAGTTCAAGCCGAAGAGAGCCAATAGCGAGCGCGTAATCGTTGGCAACGCGCGAGAGGAGGAGGCGTATATGAGAGGAGAGGTGAAGAGGCACACGCGGCGGGCAGCATCTCCTTAACTCTTCCTCCGCGCTTAAATAAATTAAACGAGGCATGGTGTGCGCGACGAGTAGGCTCGGTGTTACACTTACATAGGTGTACGTGTCTTACGTCATTCGCGCGCGTGGCCGAAGAGGGCTACAACTTGCTTCTCTATCCTTGAATCTTGTACGAAATTAGCCGCAATCAAAGTGCCACGTCAACATCCCCCCTTTGCCCTCAGTTTAACGACGACGGCGCTTCTTCTCATTCTCCTCCCGTTCGCGCTCGCGAGGAAATCGGCGAGACTTCCGTCGCGAATCATCAACTCGATCATCAACTCGGTGAGTCAGTCGAGACATGAGCAGCGCTCAAGAAAAATTTCATCGACTACCATCTTTTCGTACGACCGTGTAAGCTATTATACAAGTATATCATTACATTCGCCTTCGTAGGTCAAAACGAAGAATCAACACGACTCCAATTTCAAATAGCGTGCTGTAGTTTCGTGGTTTACAGATGCAACAAGATGAAGAAAATATAATAGAAGCACTTGTACACAAACTCCGATTAGAATCGACGTGTGTGATGTTGTCGTTTGTCGCGGGATAGTACTCGCTCGAGCAAAACTAGACGATGTAAGTAGCGTACAACGACTACGGCGAGATCGAAGCGTGTTTGGTAAAGACCGCAGATTAACCACCATTGCATTCGGAACGCATCCCCATAGGCTGGAAACCGGCCTCGCCCCCGGAGTTGAGCTCTGCACGAGGGTGAGTTTCGTATATCGAAACGAAACCAGTCTTCCCTCTCCTTCGACATCGACATCGGTGTCTGTAGATTTCGAATGACGTATCTGCTGCTCCCCCTTTCCCTTCCTTTTCTCTTCTCCCTTCCCTCGTCTCGTCTCTCATGATATAAAGCGATGAAAATAATGTAACGCACCGCGACCAAAATCTATTGACACGCCACCCTACGCGCACACACCGTCCATTCATGGCTACGTGCGCGCGCGCAAGAGAGAGAGAGAGAGAGAAATGAGAGTCGCGACTGGTTGTCGAGATCGAGATGTTAAGGAACCCCTCTGTAAATAAGCAAGATGGCGATGTCAAAATAATAGTAGATAGACCATAAGATGGCCCTTTCTGCTCAAAGTACCAGAAAAATTTTTCTTTTTTTTTATTTACCCATAAATATTTTGTGTAATCAATATTTTTATTGGTTTACAGACATATGTGCAAAACGTTTATCCAGCCTCAAGACTCGCAAAAACTCGAAAAATTGTATAGTTAAACACAAGTTCGAAGGAATAAGAAAGTTAAAGAGTCATGACAAGGTGTTGGTAAATTTCTAAAATAATTTTATTAAAAATTGATTGCGAAAAGTATTACCTCGGCCAGGGTTTGAACCTGGGCCTCCCTCTCATATGTATAGGCGGGCGTTTCTTTTCTTTTATTTTGAAAGGCTCTGCCTTACTAAACTTTCTTACTAAATGCCCAATTTTTTCGTATTTAACGTAATTATGAAAACAACATATAGTAATAAAGTACATATTACGATATTTGTTTGCATTAATGTAAAGCCGCGGACGATAAAACGATGAGCAGTAATGTGCGAGCGGAACAGCAGTGACAATGAGCGCAAGCAGGCTAGCACTGCGGTGTAAAGTAGTATAACCGTAATACAATACTATAACGAGCCAGATACTAAATAGTTGAATACAAATAGTTCCACGAGTGCTTTCAAAGACTTGACGTCGACCATTGCGGGCGCGTTTGCGAATAACGCTGACGACATCGACAATAATGTAATAGCGCAAAGTAATTCAGCGAGTTACCGACTACTTACTAAAACGTCAGGAACACTTAGGAACTTTACGCGCCTTGCACGTATAATTCTCTCGACGAGGCAACATTAATGTCGAAATATTTGTCTATGACAAAATTAAAAAATAAATGTCATTGTTCATTACTTAATAAGTACAACTACTCGCCAAACTATAGATAAAAAATATTTAGCCAATAAATCAACAACGCATCCATGAAAAGAAATAATTCTACAGTCGATGTTGATTATTATTTTATTGTAGCAAATATTGAAATGTGCAATAGTATCGAGTTGAATAACTTGGGCTTGTTTCGCGCACTTACATGTATTATACGTGGTGCCTGCAACGCTCACGTATAAATGAATCCAAATGAAATTTACGTGATATGGAAAAATGTAAAGCGCATCTGTAAAAGCGTGATGCGACGCGACGTCGTCATTTGCTAAGCGCATCGCGTAGAAGCCAACACTCGTAACGATATCGAGCACCTATGCGATACGTAGAGGAGCAACAACATGCGTACCGTAGACAACTTGCCACTTGTAGCAATTGACCACGCAAGTGTTTACCGTCCCCTTCGGGCTACGTGACGCTATGCGACGCGATTTCGCCTTACTTTAGACATGTCGTTGGTTGTTTTACAATCAATTGTAATTGCAATCATGTAATTCTTTATAATTTGGATAATGTATCTCATTTTGTGCGCTGTTTACAAATCAAGCTGAAATGTCGACAGTCACATCAGAGTAGAAAAACTATTGTATTTTACGACGATCCTATGAATCGCCAAAGAAATTTTCCTCGATGACTTTGCAAGAGTATGTATAAAGTCGCCATGTGTGGGCACTTGTAGATAATATTTAATATTTTAATTTGTTCCGCGTTGTCCGACCAACATGTCGGCACGCAGTTCTATTTCGAATTGAGTGAGAAGGAGGTCCAGGTTCAAACCCTGGCTGAGGTAACATTTTTCACAAGAAATTTCCAAATTGAAATTATTTCGACATTTAACATGCTGTCTTGGCTCCTATTCCTTTATTCCTTCGACTGTGATTTCGCATCAAAGCCTTATGAATAAGTTAATCGCGATAAAAATGTATTAATATTGTCAATCATCGTAATGGTCGAATAAACGAGGTGAAGGAATTTAGAGAGAATGAGAGCCGACGTTTGTTTTCTTAGAAAGATTCTGGGGGTGTGAAAATTATGAGGGTTAATAAGAACCGTGCACACTGCAGACAAAACCGCCGCGTTAGCTACTCGAAGGTATAAGAATGCCGAGCACGTCTGACGGTGGGCAGGCCGCGCGGGTCACAATCCCATCTGCCGATCCTAACCGGTCTCTTTTCCTCCCTCGTTCTCTCCTCGGCCCTTCGGACGTTTAAACTCTGGTTAGACGTACGCGAGCGCGCGCCATTATCTTATTTACGCCTCATTGTCTCAATGTATCATACCAATATCGCGCCTGCTCGTACCGACCGGCAACACGCTCCTGGATCGTCATCAGGATGCACGTGAATGCGCCGCGCTTACGAGAAATACTGTCCTCTGTCTTAATAAAACGCCATGAAAAGGTAAATTGTCGTCATTCTTTCTTATTTCCATCAGTATTCACGCAAACACACACATAGACAAATTCGAGAGTCCGGAATTTTATCATCTTTTAAATTAAAGGCACACTGTCAAATTTTTCTTTTAATATCTACAAGTATTTCTATCACATTGAAGAGTGACACGTTTTTAAACGATACATCAAACTCTTTAATAGCTACTGTGTTCAGTAAAATAGGACTTTTACTGAATAATGATCTATGTTTTTCTTTTCTTCACCTTTAACTGACAACTTTAAAAGAAACGTTAAATTATGGAATTTGTGTTTGAGAGTTTTGTTCTTTTGTGTTCCCTACGAACAAGTGGTTGCCAAGTCAAAAGTCAAAAAGGGAACACGGTAAAGGAGACAGCCCGAGGTGTAGTTTATGGGGCTAGACTAAGGCTAAAAAGTTATGGCAGCACTAAAGCAGTGGCCCGTACGTCCATCTAATTCTAAACGTTGTATCATTGTGCGTATTTCTCGTCTTAGTGTCAAACTTTTGTCCTATATTGTGTTTTGACACTCGATGGGTTCTGCCTATTAAATTTTACGAGCGGTTATGACATGCGAGTTTCTTTCAAATTTCAGGGAAAATTGCTTTTGTCTGGTCGAATCGTCTCCCATGAGGAGCAACGGTCACGTTTTAGAGACGACGAATAGTGACAAAAACACATGCGTGAGTAAACATAATTGTTTCTTGGCAACATGTTTAAATAATTTTTTATTGACAAAAAGAGTAGTGTAATATGTTATTAACGAGGTTTGGTCACCATAAAAAATTAATGTAAAAAGTAAAAATAAAGATTACGTATATTACAATACACTGTACAATATTGATACGTTTTGTAATATTTTGTAAAGAAAAATTACCTATTTTAATTTTGTACAAATTATATAATGTACATTGTATGGCAATATATTTGCGACGCGTCGTAAAATAAATATTAATTGCGACATGGAATTTTGCAAAAAATTTGGAGCGGACATTTATTTTGCTGACATCATACATTATATAAGTATTTTTTCAAGGTGTTTAATTGTGATTTCAGCGTACTATGTACATATATAATATATTCGTAATATCTTTAGCAACAATAATTTCTATGTACACGTTGTAATAACAAGCTGCAAATGACTATTTATAAATCCGACTATACATAATTATCGATTAATTGATGCTGTATGTACACGCTAGAACCACCAAAGAGAGATCACGAGTTAAACTTGTATATAACTATATTATATATAATTATATCGGTTTTTTCTATATCTCCAAAGTTATTGAGATTTCATCTCAAAATATTTAACATTTTGGTAAAGTTCCACCGACGATATGTCGTTTGATATGACATTTACAGGCGAAGCAATTATTGCATTATTAATTATATGCGAGAGAAGGTACGTACAAACGGGAAAATGAGTTGAAATATACACTGACCGCAATTATCGACAATTATACAAGTTGAGTATAAATTGCTATTCGCATTCTGAGAATACTGAAATCACAAAATGACGCTATAAATATTATATTACTTGGTATACAGATAATAACATATCGGTCGATACGTTACATTCTTGTTGAGAGAAAGAAATTTCTCTTATATAATAAATATAAATTTGCTACTAGATAATAGTGAAAACATGAGTCCTATCAATAAGGTAAGATAAAAGTAATATGTACAAATTTGGAAAGGTTGAGAGGCCGAGAGGAAATTTAGTCCAGCTAAATTGATGTCAAGTTTCGGTTACTCTCATCCGTAAGATCTAGATGACAAGATGTTTACATGCAGGGTGAGATCGCGCTGCGCTCTCGTTGGAGGTGGCCGTTGTTGAAGAATACGATTCAGCTTTGTCGGCCGGTGAGGACGGTGATGGGTTTTAGAAGGAGCTGCGGCGGACTGTGAGGCAGCGGTCTCGAGGGCTGAACGGAATTGCAGACGGTAACCGGCGGCGAGTGCGGGTCCATCGGCTCTGGACTGCTTCCGGGCGAAGCCGTACTAGAGGGAGGCTGACTTAGAACTTGAGACGCTTGGCCGAGATATCTCGATTGCTGGTGAAATATCGACGCCGGTATCGGTGGTATCGTAATAGATCTGAGGGTACTATAGAAATCCTGGTAGGGATTGCCCGTATGCGAGAGTCCGGACGTCCGAATTTCCGGTAGGCCGATGCCGCCGGGATAGCCGGTAGGCGCTTGCAGCAATCTCTCGACGGAGAAGGCTCCGTGAGTCGGAGGCGCCGCCGTCGCCGGGAGAGGCTGCGGTTTGCAAGGCAGGCTCGTCGCCGACGAAGTGGTGGCCGCTCCTGGCAGCAAACTGGCCGGATATCCGGCGGGGGTGGGATAAGAGCCGGCGGTGACCGATGGATACGCGACGGTACGGTGAAGACAGAGCGGCGTAGGCAGAGCGTAGAGCGACGATGGCCAGCCCGGTGACGGGTAAGGGGTTGGATAAAGGCTACCGAGGACCACGCTCCGCTTGAAGGCCGCCAGTCGCGACCTGGAGGCCGCCGTGGTTCTGCGTCGGAGCTTGCCCGTCGCGCCTCCGATGAACACGTCCTCGGAGCTCGGGTCCAGCATCCAGTAGTTGCCCTTGCCCGGATCGTCGTAGTGACGAGGTACCTTGACGAAACACTTGTTCAACGAGAGATTGTGTCGAATCGAGTTCTGCCAGCCTTGCTTGTTGTTCTCGTAGTAGGGAAAGTGGCGCATTATGTACTCGTAGATGCCGTTCAGGGTCAGTCGCTTCTCGGGACTCTGTCGAATGGCCATCATGATTAGCGCGTTGTAGCTATACGGTGGCTTATCCGTCTTCTTCTTGTCCTCCGCCTGCTCCTTCGAGTCCTTTTGGCTCGACGGGCTGACGGACGTTGCACTGGTCGAGCAATCCAAAGGCGGCGTTTCCGCGCCACCACCGGTTACGTCGAGATCGCTGCAATCGTCGCTGTCGTCGGCGTGACCGACGTCGGACGAGTCCGACTGGCTGGCCGACGGCGCGGGAGTCCCGGCGCACGCTTCGGGCACAATGCTACGGATGCTGAAGTTGCTCTTGAGAGCAGCCCGTGGCGGTGGCGAAGCTGTCACAGTATGCTGCTCACTCGAACCCTCCATATTCACCATGCTTGCGATCCTTCGACACCGTACTCAGATTCTCGCACTCGCTAAGCACGTTTGCACGCTGCACGCGATATCTATGTTCACTCAGTTTCGAAATACATTTTCCGCCAACATTCTCTCGCTTTATCACACGGCACATCGAACCTCCTTCCTCCGTTTCTCTCTCTCTCGTTTCCTCTCTTTCTCTTTTCACACGCACCTTTCGCCTCGCGCACGTAGCGCGCGAGTCCTGGTCTCTCCTCAGCTACGAGGAAACTCTGTGTCAAAACGTTCCCACTCTGAGAAGCCGCGCGTTTCTGCCGGTCTCCCCGCCACGGTACCCCTATTTATACTCTGTACTCGGACACGCCCACTGGTAACGGCGTGACGTGCCTCGAGGGGCTCGCCGACCAATCCTCGTGGATAGCTCGCTGCCAGTGCTGCTCGACCCCACTACGGTGTTTGCGTCCAATGTTTGACAGCAAACAATGTCAGCGGTGCGGAGCCACGGCGAAGGCTGGCGTTTCGGAGGTGGTAGCGAGGCGCAAGCGGATCTGGAGCTATCGCGCAGCCTGGTGGGGAGCGCAGCCGCAACTAAACGTGCATCCCCGCGTGTGCAAACAAATCCAACGCGTTATATCCGCGTCTATACGCCCTTCTATGCTTCTATGGGATTGGCACGTTCTTGCACGTCGCGCTGCCAGCCTGCGAGAGCTCTTTGGCGTCGAGGAGGGGGAAAGTGTATACGGCGCGATTGTATCTGTGCCGTGCCGTGCCGTGCCGTTCACGGTGGCCAAAACTTGCTTCGATTTTCATAGCGTCGTCGAATATGGAGATGATGGGGAACGCCTGTCGCAGAGCATCGTTCGCGCACCTGGTGTCATCGACTTTTGTATCTTCGACTCGAGCGTTTGTCAACTGAGAGACGCGCTAACGAACTTGCTATTGAGCTCTCGCACGGAATAAACACCATTCTTGTAGCAAGTTTCTAACAATGAGACGTCTAATACTATATCAATTTCATACTCTTTCTCTTCCTCTTCTTTTCTTAATTTAGTTGGTCATTTTTTCTCTTCTACCTACACTATTGTCGTTATTCTGGCGAGAGATGAGATAAGAATAAACTACGTGCGGATAAATAATAATCTCGAGCATCACCAAGTGCTTATTAACGAGTAAAGAGAAGCGAACGTCATCTTTCCAACTCAAAATAGATCCCCTGTCATCGTGGGAAAATTGCGGTCTTCTAGAAAGAAATATTTTCTGTTTAGGTTACCGCTTTCGAGCGGTTTCGACATAAAAGAGTGGATTTGAATCCCTACAAAAGAACAGCTTATGACCAAGATGACTAAGCTTTACCGTACATTGTTTCGGCTCTCTCTCTCTCTCTCTCTCTCTCTCTCTCGTTATGCTTAACCCAGGGTTTATTTGAAAATGTTTATTTTATAGAAAATTGCTTGTTGTGGTTTTTGGCGGTTTCTCGGTCTTTGATCTATTTGCGAATCCTATGGGACTCTGAATAGCGTAGTCTTTCCAAAAGAAATTCTTTTCAACCGCAATGTTATTATCACAATTTTCAAACATGACACTTTGTAAGGAAGAATGTCTTTTCAGAATATTCACTAATGTTATTGATGGATTCTTGTCGTATATTCTCTTTAAAACTTACCCTTAAACATTATTTTCACAATATATGTCTATGTATATTTATCGTTGAATACAACTTAAACGTACAAGATTTATGGAATCTTATTTGACGAGTAAAGTAATCTTACATCCATTTAAACTAATATTGTTAAATATAACGTTGACAATAGTTTCATTTAATTCAGTCTGAAAATAATCATCCATCATTTTAACGTACATCTATTTATTTCCCGCCGTATATCAGAAATGCGCGCGTGAGTGTTAGTTTAATGATATAGCACGTTGTACATACATCTGTTTAGGTAGTGTAACAAATGTTGAAAAAGATATTCTTCGATCTCGCTGATGAGATTCAATTTCTAGATGATTCTTAATGGTGAAGAATCATCTAATATTACGCAATAGGTAAATGTATTTCTTCTCGAGACGCATACGTCAAAGAATTATACATACACTATGTATACGCGCGCGTATATTCAACGTTAATTAAACGGCACATTATAGACGATTACAATGAAATTTTGTTTCAGACTTACTAAAAAATATAATTAGAGATATTGCTTGGTATCAAGAGCCAAGTCAATCATGTCATTGTTAGATATGTAAAAGAATAGCAACTTGTTATTTATATTGTTCCAACTACTTCGATTTGTTATGGTTTATTAGAATTCTGCAAATTGCGAATGCGATGAGTCCGTAGTGCATGTGAAGGGAGCAAAGGCACGTGACAAACGTGAATGATAAACATGGAAAAAGGAAAACCGAAGAGAAGGCTACCTCAGATTTGCTAAGGGAATACATCGGCAAAAAGTAAAAGGCATTCTTTGAACAGCGGATGACATCTTTATACACGGTGTCCGACTCCCCATCGTGAAAATGTCGTCACCCCATGGCGATTTGTAGATTTAGTTGCGTTCCACCGCATTTTCTTCTTTATGGTATTTTCGTAATACCATAATCTAGCTAGAGAGTTATGAATATAGGTAAATGCAAATGTAAGTCAATTTAGATTATTAAAATTATATCAATTATCTCTTAAAGATTACATAGCGACACAGCACATGTCGGTGATTATACATATGTATAATGGTTATTCGTAAAAATACAAAAAATACATTAATCTTGTACATCCAATTATGACATCTTAATTAGCTTAATTAGCAATCTTGAAAACATTATTTTATTGTCAATCGTGACAAGTACGACAGCTTGAGAATATTTATCTAATCGCTTTAGCATGTTATTATTATGTAAATAATACGACAACAGTAAAATATGAATTATAAATCCGTAATGTTGTTGTTGATGCATGCATTTTTCTCCAATTAATTCTTCTATTGTTTACATCGTAACAATCAATTTAACTTGCCAGCAGTTGTAGTCTTTCTCACATGAAAAATTTCAAGAAATAAAATGAAATTAAATAAAAATTAATTTTTAGATAAATCTAGGCAATACCTAGAATATTTACTACGTTGTTCATTTATTAATACCATACATACATATGCGTACTTTCAAATGCAATCAACTCAAAATTGTATTAATTCTAGTTGTGATTTTTCTTCAGCCAAAAACTGATTATTGACCGAATAAACTGTGGGTTTTTTCCTTATTAGGTATCAAAACTCTTAGGCAGAAACTGGTATGAGATACAAATTTTGTATAATCCAGATATATAAATAATTATAGGAAAATAATAGGATTGTCATACATGTCAACAACACTCAACTATTTCGAAAGTTTAAATTTTCTCAATTATTATTGACAATTGAATACAAACGATGAGACTTAAAATTATTAATGGAATTTCATCCTGAATTTGCACTATGAATTATTAAAAAACAATTTATTCTGCATGTCTAAGGTTCTTAGGTTCAAAGATTTATCTTTACTTTTGGTATGTGCATCGTCTTTCTCAAGTCGACCACCAATGTGGCTGTAACAGTTTGAACGTGACGAATTATAAATTCCAGGCACTTATTACGTGATTATCGTAATATTCGACACACTCTTTTTGAAACTCCGAGGGATCGCTATCTATTATCGTCACCTTTACCTCCCATCTTGCATGAAAAATCGCTTTTCCAGCACGGCCGGCGCAACACGGCAAAGCGGTCTCCTATTATCCCATTCCCTCATCGTACCTTTCTTATTGTTAGATGCGAAACTGTGAAAGCGATTCGCAGGTATTACAAGTGAATCAACAAACGAACCTATTTGTTTAAAAAAACAACATATCAGAGATGTCACAATGCAAGTCTGCGACATTCTTCGCGAGGCAATATTTTTCCCTCTTTGGGAACGCCGTTGACGAATATATTGTTTAAACAAGAGAAATATCGCGGCGAGTAAAAGAATTTTCTACGTATTATTATACATATTACTTTAGAGAATAAATTATTAGTAGGTATATTAGTTTGTACAGTATTTTTAAATAATCAATCAATGAAGAAAAATATTTAAAAGATGAGAAATAGATATACAATACATATAAATACACATTGAGTCTGATATTTTTCTAGATGATCCCAAATAATACAGCTGATCGTTATGAACTCAAAGAGAATATAAATTTTACACTTCCTTGTAAATTAACGTTTACATATGTTCAAAGTGAACTCCAAAAGAATTCTTTTTGGATTATCTGTGCTATCTGGGCATATTACATTAATAATAACGTTATATAGGTATGTGTGTGTGTGTGTGTGTGTGTGTGTTATTATATGTATAATATTATCAATTTGTAGTACATTATGTGTATAGGAGCATTTAGTTGCACTACGCATGATTCTTTTATTTACAGTTTAGTTATTTTTCGCAAAAATGCTCAGTTTTGCAGTCAATCCGATTTTGTTGAAAAAGCTCTCTTGAAAAACCAAAATGTCTTTTATAGGGTTGAAATCTCACGATTCGGCACACAGATTGGGGTTCGTGCATACCATGAACTCTTAATCCTGCCGCTCTTTCTTTTCGCATCAACGGAGGTGTCCATTCTTTCCGGTGCAGGTTAAATAACTAATCTCCCGCGGTCCAATTGAGAAAACTAAGATCTGCCAGAGAGATGATATCCGTAGCAATCGCATTGAATTAGCGGCAAGAAAAAAGGAGGAAAGCGGAGACTAGAGTCTGCCTGCACCGACAACAATTCAAAATTGAAGACTTTTTTGTTTAAGGACTTGTTAAAATTTCTACCAATCTTTTACTCTAGTTCTAAATAAGTGTTTAAGTATATTATACGTTAAATATAAATTTAAGATTAGATATTTGAGCAGGTTACATAGGGGAACCTGGGGTATAACGGAACGGCGGGGCATAATGGGATATGATCTATAACTTTTCACAGAAGTGCTGTTATGTATTGAAATATTTTGCAATTATTGCTATTAGATGATCCTTATCGCATGCTGTTATCAGTTGTCATGTTATTTTTAACTGAAAATTGCTATAAATTTTTTAATGCGTTTGCTGCACTCTCCGTGACTCGCTTATAATTTCGTTGATAGATCAGCATGAGGTAACAATGATAAAATTCTATTTTTTATTACCATAAGTAATTTTACGCTATTAAACAATCTTTTCTAGTCACTTTAGTAAAGTATTTCTGCACAGATATTGATTATCAATGATATTTTGTATTTATTTAGTGTAAAGGTACATTTGGGGGCATAACGGGACATTAGGCCGTGGGGCATAATGGTACAATAGATAATC